AGTTTTAAAGTAGGAGATGAAGTTCTTGTACTTTTGCCTATCAAGTCAAATAAATTATTAGTAGCATGGAAAGGTCCATATAAAGTATAAAAAATTTGTGGGAAAGTTGACTACCTCATAGAAGTCAAGGGAAACCTAAACTTTATCATATCAACATCCTTAAGAAATATTACCGTAGAAATTCGGTATAACTGCCTTAATAACTTTGACTTAGTTTTCCCACACGAACTTGATACGACAACTGAAGAATGTAAGGTGTGCGTAATTGACACCTCTAACTTAGACTATGATGAAGAACTACAAAGACTTGGTGACTTTTGACCACTCGGACGCAATCACATTAATATTAATGAATCTTTGGATGACCAAAAGAGACATGAACTACTTCAATGTGTGAGTAACTTTTCAGACGTCTTTACTGATATTCAGGTGTCACCTCCACGGTAGTCCATAAGACTGACTTAGTGACGGACAATCCTATCAACGAAAATTATACCAGTTCCAGTTCACCTTAGGGATGCATTTGACAGAGAGGTAGACAAAAATTATTAAAACTAAAGATCATTGAACCTTCAGTATCTGCATATTGCTCACCAGTAGTCATGGTTAAGAAGGAGATAATTCATATAGACTTGCTATTGACTTCAGAGTCCTTAATGCTATAACTCGGTGGGATGCTGAGCCTATGCCTTAATAGATAGCGATTTACACAAATTTTATGACGCTTCCTTCTTTTCAGAGATTGATATTGCACAGGCATATCAATCAAGTAATGTTAGATCCTTCTTCTAAGCAGTACACCGCTTTTCCTACACACCAAGGACTGATGCAAATAAAACTATGCCCTCGGTTTGGTAAACTGCCTGTGCTACTACGTGAGACTGATGAGAAAGGTCTTGGGTAATATGCAAATGTTTCAGTTTATTTTGATAACATTTACGTAATGACATCCACGTGGGGCGAAAATATCCAAACATAACATCAAGTTTTGCGTAGGTTACGCTCACATGGCCTCACTGCCAAGCCGAAGAAATGCTTTCTTGGGTAAACAAGATTAGATATCTTGACTGATACGTTTCAATAACACCTGCAGCCTCTCCCAAGTAAGACAAGCTTTATTAGAATTTAAATTCCCCAAAACCAAGAAGCTCATGCGTAGTTTTCTTGGTTCTGTAATTTTTATGCACGGTTTATCCCGAACCTACTGATCTTACAGGCATCTTATCCGACTTCCTTAAAAGTCTGTGAAGGAACCCTTGAACTTTCCGACGTAGCTCGGGAAAAGTTTAAGAGATTAAAAGTATCTTTCGAAGACCCTATACTTAAGGTTCCAGATATATAAAACATTTTGCTTAACGAACTGATGCCTCCAATACTGGCTTAGGTGCGGTGTTACTACAATACCATGATGGTACTCCCTTCCCTGTAGCTCCCAAGCCGGAAACTCCTTCCCGCAGAAACAAGATACTCCACAATAGAAAAGGAATGTTTAGCCCTTGTGTGGGGTATCTCCAAACTTAAATTTTATTTGCTGGGAAAAGAATTCATTTTAGAAACGGACCACAAACCTTTGATATACCTAGAAACTTTTAAGGGAACCAACAGTCGCCTCTTGAGGTGGACATTGGCACTCCAGGCTTTTAAGTTCCATATTGTGTATATCAATGGTTCATCCAATTATTTCTCTTACTATAAGTCTTGGTAAGGGGGAGTGTGAGGGAAAAGTTCAATAGATAGGAGTAGCGAGGGAGTATATAGTAACAATAGTTTCATTGCCGGCTACTTGTTAAGGTAGGGTACGTCAAGCTCCCGCCTTTTTTCCCCCACCCCAAAAGTGATAGTTTGACTGCCGGCTGCTTGTTAAGGTAGGGTCAGTCTAGCTCCCGCTATCCCTTTCCCTCCTTCTTCCCCCCCCCCCGAAAGGTGACGTGTGGGGCTTTGGTCCAAACAGTAATCACTAGACTCACAGCTCCCAGCACTACATTTGGATGGGCAGAGAGGTCACCTGTCAATCAACGAGAAGAACTGGTGGAGAGGCTAACGTCCTGGACTTCCCTTTTTGGATTGTAATTACCTGTGCACCCTGTATGAAATTGCAGGACGTAACCCCTCATCATTGCAGCGGTAAAGAACCTGCTTTCCTGTCATCGGGATATAATACTCAAGGCTATACTGTGAAGAACTAGCCAGTGGGTCGTAACCAACACCTGCGACCCCCCCCCCATCATCAGCAACGGCTACGATTTCAACAGCACAGTGTCACCAACACCAGACACCCCTATATATATTAGCGTTGAATTCAGTTATCATTTATATTTTTCATTTTCATTTTCTTTAATGTAGGATTAATATTTCATATTTAAGTGTTTTATATTTTATATTTTCCATATAATAAAGTGTTTATGTTTGTCTGTTATTATTTCTTTTTCTATTCATTAATTTTCCTGAGGAGGAGCCAGCCTTGGTAATACTGTCTGAAGTTATTACAGGGCTGAGTAAGCCTTCACAATGAACTTTTTTCAAGGGTTCTTAAAGAGTACAAAATTGAACTTTGTAAGTCATTAATTAAGCTTTTTTAATATATATCTCCAAACAGGGGTAGTGTCTGAGATTTGGAAGATGGCTAATGTAATTACTATTTTTTAAAGCCGAGAATAAGTCATTCCCATCAAATTACTGCTCAATAAGCCTGACCTCAATTGTAGACAAATTATTAGTTAATTATAGCTGAAAATATAAAAATCCACATTGATAAGCATTTTTTATTTATGATTTTCAACGCTGATTTACGAGGTACCTTTCCTACATGACAAATTTAATGACTTTCTTTATTAAAACAATTGAGTCAGATGATCATTATAAAGATTACGATATTGTTTATTTGGATTTTAGCAAAGCTTTGATAAAATACAACAGAAAAGACTGTTAAAGAAAGTAGCAGCTCAAGGTATTGGCGGAAATGTCGTATCATGGATCGAACCTGCATAAATGGGGTGAAATCTGAGTGGGAATCAGTCACAAGTGGTGTTCCACGGAGACCGGTTCTAGGTCCATTGTTGTTCTTAATTCACATTAATGACATTGACGAGAGAATAACAAAAATGATGTGAACAAATTGGCTGATGACACTAAAATAGGCAGAATAATAAGAAGATACAATGTACTTCAGGTGGATTTAGACAAGCTAACTCGTAGTCATAACAGTGGCAGATGTGACTCACGAAATCGTAATGGCACGTTTGCAAACAAACCATACCACAGGTGGGGTTAGAACCCGCGATCAAAGAGTCACAAAACTCGAGACCGACGCGTTAGCCACTGGGCCATCTAGCTACAATAATATTTATCCAACTAAGGAAATTCGTCTGTAAAAATTTGCCTTTGTGGTCACAGTGGTGCCTATGCTAACCTTCCTATGGTACATAAATATACCTAGTTGGATGAATCTTATTGTAGCTAGCTAACACATCAGTCTGGAGTTTTGTGACTCTCTGATCGCGGGTTCTAACCCCAACCGTGGTATGGTTAGTGGCAGAAGTATCTCAATATAGATAAAATCAAAATCATAATGCAAATAACCTTAGTTCTTATAACTAAATAATTCCAAACCTAGCCATACAGAATATGGAAAGGACTTGGGATTTATGGTAAACAGCAACCTGAATTCAGGAGGTCACAGATGTTTTTAGGGGTGATAAAAAAAATTGAAAGATTATGGAAAAAAATGTTTTCTTACCGACAAATAGTGCATAATTCTGGTAATATGTTGATGTAATTAGCTTGTTTCTATCATATTTCTAAGTATGATTTTCCAAAAATGTAATTTTTTTTGTTCTTGCTGCCATCAAAAAGACATGATGGCAATTCGTGTTTTTTTTTCCTCCAATAATTACGAATTTTTATGATTGTTTCATTCTAAATACACTATACTGCAACTTCTCTGAGGACTCCATTCAAAGTCAGTAAGTGATAACATCTCAGTCGCGTGCGGGCTGTCAACATGTGTTGAGGTGTGCGACATACTGAAATGTGGTGTGCCATAACCGTAGAGTTTTACAGAAAACATAATATATAACTCACGAATAATTTGACATTATTTTCCATTTTTAGCGAAAAGTATTTATAGGAGTCTCATGATTTTTGCACACATTATTGAGTAATAATGGTTCTACTACCATGTAAAGGGATTTTGCGATTTTTTTAATGTACTGTTTTTACTGATATTTTTCTCCCCAAAAAATCCTTAAATAAATAATATAATTCAACATCTTTTATTATGCAATCTATTGACATTTTTGCTGAAATGGGCTTATTACCAAGATTATTTATCCCTTATCTTTCATCTGATGTCAACTAGAACATTGTACATCTTGCCAATTTTGTAGAAAAGGGAGAGTTTTATGCCCTATAGAATAGGGCACAATTTATTTTTCTGTATCTTTTAGGGCAAAAAGTGACTACAAACTCTTGTTTAAATCACTGTAAAAATTTCATTGAAATTGGACAAAAAAGAAAAAAGAAAAATTATTTCGCTAGGACCCTCCTGAAGTCAAGACACCAGTGCATGAGCACACATAATATGTCTAACAAAATTTTGGAATTTATGTCCAAGAAATATAAGGAGTCCAGGAGGTTGTACTTCAGCTCAATTCACCGTTAGTAAGGCCTCACTTGGCTTATGCGGCTCATTTCTGGTCTCCTTACTACAGAATGAACATAAATTCATTAGAGAACATACAGAGAAGAATGATAAAATTACTACGCTGCATAAGGGCCAATGGCTATAAGAGGTGCGACCCAAAATACATTCATAACTACTGTTCTTCCCAATAATTTAACTTGGAACATGTGTCCCTTACTGTCATTTGTTATAAAGACACCGCATTTTTATCTACCGATAAACTGCTGATATTTATTTTCAATAACTTACTTGGTTCTATTGATATTTTATGCTTTAATAGATAATAAGTTTAGATATTTTATACATTGACAATTTACAGAACTGGCTGGAGCAGTGCTGTCAGTATCATCGCTTAGTAGAAGCAATATATTCAGCAGGGAAAAATAATAATATAGAAAACGAAAAGAAGGTGGAGAAGTTGCTATATTCCGGGGCACCCTTAGTATCTCCTGGGTCGATCTATAACAGTCCACTTCACTTGGCCATCACCTACAACTTACTGAACATCTTGAGGCGCCTTCTGGATAATGGCGCTTCCCTGACAGCCAAGCACTTCGGCCTGGTTCCCTTCCAGGTAGCCTGGCGAGCCACAGGGGTCACTAGTGAAGTGAGCAATTGCATTACGAGGGTATGTTTCAGGATTTTTTGTTGGTATATTACCAGTTTGTTTTAAATAAAATGATATAATAATGTTTTTACTATAAACAGTCATGGATAAAACTCAAGGACGTTTTGCTGACAAAATTAAGAGGCTCTGCAGAAAAGCTTTATTTGCACAAATTTTCAATCTACACAGACATGAGAAATCGGTATAGCACATATACAGTCAGGTTTACTTCAGGGAATTTGAATTTCATTTTATTTCCCGGGTCCTTTATATATTTATTTTTTTGACGAAAGAACCCTACCTACCTTTGTTTGTATTAGTGTGTTATAATGTACATTTGTGTAATTGGCATTTGATAGGTACTAAACATAAAATTCATCATAGCTCATAATTTTTGTAATTTTTTTTATATATCCTGAGACAGTTTCTCTTTTTTCTCCTGTTATTCCACGATTATCGGTGGTTTATAGATAAAATATATCAGTTACTCTAATTAGGGAATGTTTTAATATTTTTTTCTACCATATCCCCCATATATTCTTCACACACTTTCTCATACGTAAAAAGAATCTAAATACAATGTGGGAAAATTTCCGCTAAACCGAAGGTTTTTTACCCAATCCCAAGACCTCCAGCGAAGGTGCTCCCTGTGATTGTACTTCCTTGGACCACCTCCACTTTTCTGCAACTTTGCAAAACTCCAGATGATGTGTTGATTGTAAAACGAAAGGCCCAGAGCTATCATTCAGCTTCCCCCGTGGTTGTTTTCATATTATATATATATAATATATATATAATATATATATATATATATAATATATAATATATATATATATATATATTTTAATATATATATATAATATATAATCGCAGTATAAATTCATTATTGCAACGTCTTGCAACAACTGGTTAAACCCCATTGGATGGGAAGAGAGAAAAGACGTGTCAATTGTATTTAATCACGACACGACGCTTGTGAGTTCGGGGTGACTAAAAAATTTATTCAGATTACATGTTTATTGTACTCTGGAATAAGCGTGTGCATTGACATATTGGATATAATGAAATATGTAAATCACGCCGTTCTTCATAAAATATACAGGCATAATTGTAATTTAATATATGTGAAATACACTTGGAAACTTACAAAAGAAAAGACTGTGCAGGTATAGATCTATACTTTCATTTGAAGTGATACTCAATGATTCTGAAATTTTGACATATAGAGGACGCCACAATAAATATGTGCTTAACAGCAAGACATTAAGAGTCACTGTCAACAATTTTAAAAACTCTGATTTGTAGCACTAATTACAGTGATTTTCCAACAGGTGGTAGAGGATAAACTCATTAATGAGAAACGTCTATTTACAACTGACCCAGTGGATTCTTGTCTGAAGAAAGGTATTCCCCGCATATTAAGAGAGATTCAAGGAAAAACACCGTGGCGAGCCAAGTTTTATTATACAGAAGAGAACTTCACTCTGCCGCAGCTACTTGTGAGAGCGTGTGCAGTAGGTGCCACCATGACTGCATGGTTTGTGTTGCAGGCAGGCGGCAGCACCAACACTAAGGACAGTAGCGGCACCACAGCCCTTCATGCCGCCGTGCAAGCAGGAAAATTCGACACTGCACGTGCGCTTGTCAACGACATGAAAGCAAACCTTTTTCTGGCTGATGATGCAGGTCGACGGCCCATCGACATCCTCCCACCGCTGGAAAGACAACTTCTAATGCAGGTAAGCCGGCCCACAGGTAAGCCGACCCACAGGTAAGCCGGCCCACAGCTATACCGGCCCACAGATACTTACTTTTTATATCACTATTATGCTGTCATCTTTAAATGAGTATTACTTAAAACAACGTGGGTATAAAGAGCTGCAACAGGTTTTGTAATTGTTAAGAATGTGATTTAAAGAAAGAAAACAGGCAGGAAGGAAATGTTAAAATAGAAGAAGAACTAGATTCGTGTCTGTTGCTGCTCTATCCGTGAAAGGTATCCCCGAATTCTATAACACAGTCCCTCTGCCTCACTGTATGGAGGCGTTGAAGATTTCAATGAAATTAGAAGAGACATTCACGAGTCATCATACGGAAACTAACATACAAATTTCTTCAATTAATGTAACAAATTAGAGTATTCGCGGACCAAATCTAATTCAAATCTTTCAAACGGATCAATATCCTAAAATTCACAATCATATTTAGCTTGAAGCTGCTCAGAAATTGCATTATCATGTTATCAGCTCAGATGAGTGGAAGCTAATTAGATGCGACACTCAGAAATTATCTCAAGAAAAAAGGTATTTAAATTTTTTTCAGATTAAAACAAGAAAACAGACCTACACAGGCCAAAATTAATCGAAGCTTTCTTCTCAATAAGAGTGACTTGCTTTCAAGAAAGTGCAGTAAGTAGGAAAGTAAGTAAATAAGTTTTATAGATGAATGGTTCAGAGAACCGACATGTTGATAAATTAGACACATGTGCAACTCTTGATGAATGGTTCTCTGAACCATTCATCTACAAATCTGTCAGACACTGCAACTTCTTGGGATCTTAATACTTGGGAATTCTTCGCTTGCCTAATTCTTGGGCACGACCTACTTCAACATTGAACAAATGTTACACGACCTATGACTGCTGCACCTCTCCTGCCAACGGTTTATAAGCTGCTTCTCCGCACGTATGCCGTATTCTATTCAAGATTGATGGACTGACCACATCGACTCAAGGTTGAGGGACTGATTACCTCATTCTCTTCCTGTTCTTCAAGATTCTCCTTTGTATGGACTGATGAAGCCACTGTGTGGCGAAACGTTTCCTCAATAAAGATACCCAAGAGTTGCACATGTGTCTAATTTATCAAATAAGTTTTAAGTAAGCTTAATGTATATAAACTACAAATTTTTAGAAGTGGACGTCATTGCAAACACATATCATAGGCACTTAATAGTTTACTTTGTTTAGCTTATCATGACTATTACGCACCCAGGTGATAAAGGCTTGTTAACCTGGTCGTAATGCGACTTTGAGCGAAAATTTTCCTTCACTGAGAATGATTATAGGTATTCACAGTTATGTACACTATATGGTTTAGAAAGACACGTAAGCAAACACTATGACATATTTATTAGAAAACGTTTCAGTCCTGGGACCTTGATCACTTCTAACATACAGTGGTAGAAAGACATTATATATAGGCGGAGAGTGAGGTGTGGTGACGCATGGTGACCTGAAGAATGCCATGTTGGGATGAGGACGAGTAGGCGATGAGATTGTGTGAATGTGACTCCTGTGTTGTTGGGTTGGTGGTGCTTAGCCTGTTTAAGCATCATGTATGCTAATGTTTTTGAAATTTTGTGGTTTCCAGTGTTACGTTCTATTGTGTCGGTGACAATGATTAGTGAGTCTTCTAGGCACCGTCGGCGTCTGAGGTCTGGTTCGGTGAGAACAAGTTGTGTCTCTTTCCAGTTCATCAAACGCCCAGTGGAGTCTCTGTGGAGGACACCGGCGTACCTTAAATCGTCTCTGTTACAGGCACGTCGATGCTCGTTCAGGCGGACCGCAAGATCTCTCTCTGCCTGTCTCGCCTACATATTTCCTGGGACAGAATCCACAGGGGATGGTGTAGACGCCTGCTGTAGAAGTTTGAGGTGTGGGGCTGCGTTCATGGTGGAAACGGTGATGTTGCTCATAGCAAGTGCCCGGCGAGTATTCGTGGCAACATCACCACATGGGAGCACCATGAACTGCTTAGAGGGCTGTTCCATGGGCGGTTTGTTGAGGATAGCTTGTGCCTTGAGTCTGCAATCTCGGATGAAGAAAGATGGGAACTGAAGACGTGTAAAGGCTTGTGTTATGTAAATACATTCTTCTTCAAGAAAACAAGGGCTGGAGATGCGAAGAGCTCTCAAGAAGAAGCCAATGAGGACTCCTCTTTTAGTGAAGGTGTCTTGGTGGGAATAAAAGTGTACTCACCTAATTGCACTCACCTAATTGTGGTTGCAGGGGTCGATACTCAGGTCCTGGCCCTGCCTCTTCACCGACCGCTACTAGGTCCTCTCTCCCCCTGCTCCATGAGCTTTATCATACCTCGTCTTAAAACTATGTATAGTTCCTGCCTCCACTACATCGCTTGCCAGACTATTCCACTTCCTAACTACTCTATGACTGAAGAAATACTTCCTAACATCCCTAACATCCAATTGTGACCCCTTGTTTCTGTGTCCCATCTCTGGAACATCCTGTCTCTGTCCACCTTGTCTATTCCACGCAGTATTTTGTATGTCGTTATCATGTCTCCCCTGACCCTCCTGTCCTCCAGTGTTGTCAGACGGATTTCTCTTAACCTTTCTTCATATGACATTCCCCTTAGCTCTGGAACTAGCTTTGTTGCAAACCTTTGCACTTTCTATAATTTCTTGACGTGTTTCACCAGGTGTGGGTTCCAAACTGGTGCTGCGTACTCCAGTATGGGCCTGACGTACACAGTGTATAAAGTCTTGAACGATTCCTTACTGACGAACAGGAACGCTATTCTCAGGTTTGCCAAGCGCCCATATGCTGCAGCAGTTATCTGGTTAATGTGTGCTTCCGGCGATGTACTCGGTATTATTATTATTATTATAATCAAAAAGAAGCGCTAAGCCACAAGGGCTATACAGCGCTGCAGGGTAGAGAAGGAAGCGAGGGAATTGGGCGGCAGAAGGGGGCAGGGATGATCAGTAGGTTACAGAAAACAGTGGGGCAGGGGATAGTGCGGGGGTAGAGGGTAGCAAGAGATTGAGATAGAAAGGGCTGAAGGCATCAGAGTTTGTGAAGTAAGACAGTTGTTGTCAAAAAGTCAATGAGAGAGTCTGGATGAAAGGTGGTCCATCAGCGAGAAGGGAAGGTAAAGAGAGAGCAGCAAAGGGAAGAGGACGATGGAGGTAAATTCTGTGTGCTTGTTGATAAAGTGGGCAGTCCAACAGAATGTGGCTGACTGATAATGGAGTCTGACAATTCTCACAGAGAGGAGCAGGGCGCCTCTCCATGAGATATCCATGAGTAAGATGAGTATGGCCAATGCGAAGGCGGGAGAGAGTAGTCTCCCAACCTCGACACTGGTGACAAGAAGATGGCCAGTAACCTATACTCGGTTTAATAGATTGAAGTTTGTTACCGAGCATAGTAGACCAACGTTGTTGCCAACGGGTGTAAGGTGGGTAGCTACTGCAGCAAAATAGTCCGTAAATGGAATACCTCTATATGAAACTGGTAGGTCATGTACTGCTGACCGCACGGCAGTGTCTGCCTGTTCATTGCCCTGTACGTCAACATGACCAGGACCCAACAAAAAACAATATCTTTATGCTTGGTAAAGATGCAGCGTAGCCAAAGTTGGATACGAGACTAAAGGGTGAGGTGTAATTAAATTTTTGTATAGCTGTAAAGCACTAAGGGAGTCTGAGACAACCACAAATGATGACACAGCATAGATTTCAATACGGATAAGTGCTGCAAGAATGGCATACAATTCAGCAGTAAAAATACTAGCCGAAGATAGTAAATGCCCTCGTACGATGCTGTCCGGTAACACTGCTGCGAATCCTACGCCGTCAGAAGACTTAGAGCCATCTGTGTACACTGCAATGGCATGAGAATGAGAGTGGAAGTGGTCAAGAAAAAGAGAGCGGGAAGCGACCGTAGGCAGTTGGGCTTTCGAGAAAGGGAGAGAGAAAGAACAGACTCGAACAGCTGGAACTTCCCAGGGGGGTACGGAAAAGTGAGATGCTACATGAACATAGAAAGGTGGTAATTGAAGAGAAGACAAGAGCGAATGTAGGGCGAAGAGAGAAGGAACGGAGTAATCAGGGACGGTGAACAAATAAAGAATGTCTACTAATATCAGTGACCATTCTATAAATGGAAGGATTGCGGAGATCATGAGAGCATACATAGTAGTGAAGGCAATGGTCATCACGGCGATCGTATAAGGATGGAACGTTCGCTTCTGTATAGAGGCTCTCAACAGGGGAAGAGCGAAAACCACCAAGGCATAAACGTAATCCTTGGTGATGAATGGGGTTAAGGCTAGAGAGAGTAGCAGGAGAGGCCGCTGAATAGATCTGGTCACCATAATCAAGTTTCGATAAAATGAGGGTGGAATGTAGGCAAAGGAGAGTTCGACGATCAGCTCCCCATGAAAGATGAACAAGGGTTTTAAGAAGGTTCAGCCGGCTGTGACAAGTTGCCTTCAGAGAGATAATGTGAGGTTTCCAGGATAACCTATGGTCAAAGAGGAGGCCCAGAAACCTGACTGTATCACGTTCAGGGATACGGGAGCCATAGAGGTACAAAGGATGATCGGAGATGACAGAGCGTCTAGTGAAAGTAATTTGGTGAGTTTTGGTGCTCGAAAATTTAAACCCATGTGTGGTGGCCCAATTGGAAACACGGTCGACCGCATGCTGGAGAGAAACTGTAATGAGGTGACAGTCAGCGCCTGCACAGGCAATAGCAAAGTCATCAACATTGAGTGATGACCAAATATTTGATGGAAGACTAAAGGCCAAATCATTTATAGCAAGGAGAAAAAGTGTTGTGCTCAGAACACATCCCTGGGGGACGCCTTCAGCTTGGATAAATTCCGGGGAGAGCACATTATTAACCCGAACACGGAAATGCCTGTCAGTTAAAAAGTTCTTAAGGAAGGATGGTAGATTGCCTCGGAGGTCTAAGGAATGGGCTTGGGCCAAA